GGAAAAAATTAAGTATACCTACATTAAAAAATAAATATTAAATTGTAATTAAAGGTAGGTATTATCAACGTACCCAAACACTAATGTTATAGACAATTTTTGACAGAGTAATCCCACGCTATAATTATTTGATTACATATTCGTTTGTTTAATGCATCAGACGGATTAGAGAAGGATTATTAAGGTTACTGACCAACCCGAACGTTAATCATACTATATAAAATGCTTGAATGCTTGATGGTACATGCATAATATTATGTATAGGTAATAATGCAGTAAAAAAAAATTACGTACAAGTTAGTATTTGTTTGAAGTTCAAACTCTAGTTTATCGAATATTAATTTAAATATTTAAAAGTTGGTTAATTAAATATGGAAATATTAGTAGGCACCTTCTCGAAATCCCACTCGTTAAAAAAAATGTAAAATATAGTATAATATATTTATATTTAATATTGTATATATCATATGATGCTTATGTAGACACGGATTAAATTTGAAAAGTATATTTACTCCATTTATGATAAACTATACAATTACATTTATTACATTAGCTGCTTTTCACAAATAGATTACTATAAGATAATCTAAGTAATTATTAGAAAAAATTAAAAAATGAATACCTAAATGAAATATATTATTATAGCACGTATTATACACATTCAATGATTGATGTATGCATTACTCGACTAGTTTCACAAAATCAACAAGAACTTTTATTTTTAAATTTGTACAAAATTTACAGTCCTGCCATGAAAAATTACATTAACGTTATTTTATAGTACCTTATAATATACAACTAAATATCTGGACTCTAAATTCATTACTGTGATATATACCCAGCTCTCTCGTTTCTTCATTACAACTGTAGTTTATTATTTAAATATTCAACTATTGAAATCAATGTTTACCAATGTATAAAAGAAATTACATTTTCTAGATGTGCTTCATACAATTTGTAGCTTATGTTTAGTAGAATCTATTTTTCTTTCAGATTTAAAACCAATTGAATACAACATTTTAAGACAATAATAACTAATTTTTATAGTTACACTTAGTATACATTTACTTATAGTTTATAGTTTATACTCGCTACGTTACACATGATTAATATAACATTATAAAATATATTATAGAATAAAGGTATTTAATATGTATTTTAATTTATAACTACAATATATGGTCAAGCTTCGCCCCACGGTTATGATTTGTTTTTATTTATAAAATCAGTAAAACGTAAAAACTCAAAACGTTTGAAGTACCTAATCATTTTTTAAAATAGAATAAATTGACATACATTTTCACTATGTGAATTATTGTTTATTAGGACTTTAAATTTGAAACTTTTCCTTTTTTTTTTTACTTAGTTATAATTAGAAAAACTAGTTGATCTAAAGACAAATATATCTAGAGCGATAAAACTATCGATATGCACATATCGTTAAATAGGTTTAAAATTTCAATGCATACAAAAATAGTATTCATTGATAATATTACAATTGATATAATCTACTATGCAAAGTCTAATAAATGTATATTATAAAATATAATTATAAACTATTAATAAACACCTTATACTTTTTACCTTATTGTTAAACCTGGTATATCTGTAATTGATATTAACAAATTGTATAACTAATAGTTATTAACTATACTATAATGTTAACATTTTTATTAAATGACTATATTTATTATCTTTAAAGAAATAACTACAGAATGCAAATTCGAAAGTTTATAAAGATTATGATAACACGAATAATAAGGAAATCATCAATTTAGTTACTTATATTTATTTGGTTATTTACCTATTTGAGTTCAATTTTTACAGGGATCTTTTACCTGTATCATACTTCACAAGTTTAAAATAATTTTCAAGATAATTTTTGATAAAATCAAAACAGATAGCGGGAAAAGAGCGGGTTACCGACTGCCAATGACGTATAGGAAATAATAATATAATTAAATTTAAACTCGAACATATCACGCGAAGAGCGTAAACTGCAAGATCAGATGCAACCATAAAATGAACAATATCAATTCATGAAGGGTTATATAAAGTTAGAATATATAGGTATAGGAGAACCAACATTTATAAAAAAATATTATTATTGAACTGGTTCCAGTGGGTGATCTACAACCACGCCTTTTCCGGCCGCTAGTCTTAGACCCCGTGGAGCCCGACGATTTAACTGACATTATGTTTTTTTCTCTCTTTATATATTTTAAACCAGTTGTTAATTTGCAATGTCGAGATTTCCCTGAGAGATTATTATTCACCCGTATTTTTGTGTTTAAAAATATTTTTACTATATCCATATTTATTATACACCTTGGACACTTGGACATGCATGTATACAAACATGTATGTAGGTATGTTTAGATGCCACTCCAGGGTGCGTACCAAGACTTCATCAACGGCGCCAAATTTCTGGACACAACCAGTGTAATTGTGTCCTTCGAAATGGATGGCGCCGAGACTCTGGAGACTAGAATACAATAGACGCAGTTCTTCAAATCCCAAACTATACGATGTTATGGTTCTTTACGTGTATAAACTATAATACAGTAACAGGTAAGTACCCAACTAATGGATAGAATCGGCTAGACATATAAAAAACAATAAAACAATTTCAAAACATTTTATTATTTAGTTTGAAGTTCTTTAATTTTATTTATATAATTTAATGTATTTGTAAATAATTATACAAGTTTCCAGTTTACTAAAAAGTACTGAATATTAGAGAAAATATAGGTATCCTGCATCATAAGTATTAATTTTTAATAGCAAGGACGATAATTATTCAATATTTTGGATTAATAAATTGATATTTGACATATTTTCCTGGTTATTCAAGTTATATACCTACCACTGTACCAGGCGCCTGTACAACACTATAATATTTTCTACCACGACATTGATGAAATAAATCAATTGAACGAATACATAGATAAGTATGTAATATTGAAGTATGTCTGTGTATTTTGAATACAAACAAATAAAAATATAAAACGTCCTTGTCAAGTGTATAAGTAATATTAAATATAATAAATGTAAGAACTTAAATACGACAATAATTGATCGTTTATAATATATAAAAAAAATATTTGAAAAAAAACAGCATGGATCGAGTTCATATTCTACTCTACAAATTCGATGATGTGTAAATTGGTTATAATAACATAAAAAAAAGTTGAATACATGAACTGAAATAAGAATCCGGTAAGTAGACTTACCATGGTCCGCATAGTAATATATGGACAACAGGTAACACATGCAGGTGTAGCGTCTTCTTAACCGACATTTGGTACCTATATTAACCAATATTATTAATTTATTTTTTACCTAATATACAAACGTTTAATGAAAACAGTGAAAACTACACAATAGTCAGTAATTCTAATTAGGTACACAATATTAATGTCTATATATCTTGATAAATAAATAAGTAGCTACCTACAACCTACAAAAATATTTTAACACTAAGCTTTTTTGATGATTTTAAATACGATAATTACAATGAATCCTTTGCAATGTTGTTAGAAACAAACAATTTTTTAATGTATTCTTACAAGTTTTAATACCTAAGAATAAATATTGTAAAAAATACGAGTCAATGACTAGGTTTTAACAAAATATATTAAAGCGACTCTAATCACCAATAAGACACGGCTATTTCCGGTTTAATAGGTTTGAACAACACTAAATATTGATTAAAGCGTAAATATTTCAATCGGAAACGGATATTGATAAATCATCACACAATACATTTCAACCGAATCGGGAATTGAATTTAACTTCCAAACTACATTCAAATTTCTAATATCAATTGCATTTTCTGTATATATATATTAACGTGTGTTACGCAGTTATTCTATACATTATGATATATTATATCTATTAAGAGAATCGCTTCATTTTTTAGGTACAACTTAAAAGTTATAAGTAGGAATGTTTTCTAATGTTTTCTGGTTTTATACGAAATATACGATCCATTCTTTTCCAAAAACTACAGTTATAAAACAAATATGAATTACAATTATGAAATAAAAATAACTACGAACCGGAAAGTAATTATTATCAATGTTTTGAGACGAATTCCTACTAAGCATATTCTCCAATGAGTAATTACTTATTATGAGTCTTTAATTCTCATTATTGTGATTATCTTCTAGTCGAGTGTCGACCGATGGTAGGTAGTAGATACAAACGCGGTTCACGTCAAAATCAAATAGTAAATATACCCAGGTATAATACTTGTGAGGATAGATGTTCGGTTAAATCGTATGAATCCAAACATCAGTTAATTATGTAAAATGCAAACACTGGAAACTCACCGTCTCAAAATTGTCTTCAGACGTCGCTCCAATTCGTATTATTTAAAGATCCGTCGAAAACACAAACAAAAAAAACAAGATCAACCGAATATTATATTATACCCACCGATCGACGAGCAGGTGGACAATTAAACGGTAACAGAGTATAGTTTAAAAACGCGCGGTTAAACATTTGAAAATGGAAAAACTCAACAAATCAACCACGATTGTTACAAAAATCATATTTATTTACTAAAAATAAAACCGACGACACAAAACTAAACAAAACTATCGACCAATAGAGAAAATTCGAGCGACACACACGTGAGATACGCACCACAGCAAAGCACAACAGCCGCACAACGAGTTGTGTCTCGGACTGGTTTGAGTTTTGTTTACGTTCCAAAGAACGTGTCGGTGTGAGGGACCATGGTAAAAAAAAAAGTAGTAACGGTAATGACATGGGAGCGTTGCTATAGCCGGTGGCGATGACCGGTGCGGCGGCGGTGTAGTCGTAGTGTAGTTGGTGCGGTGTGCGCGCGGTCGTGGCCGTTTCAAAACTAAGCAGTGTAACCAACCCGAGCACAAACCGACGAGACTGTAAACGACAGATAGACAGACTGAATGAACTTCCAATGATAATGTGATAACAAAAAACTCGATAACATTTTGCGTGTTGCGCGTGATAAGAAATTAATTCCATATTTTTATTTTCTATAAAATAAATAATTAATATATAATATTAAATAGGTGTGTAACTGTAACTAGTAACTACTTTACCTATTAGGTATAGTCTATAGTACAAGTAGTTGGTACTTAGGTAGTTTAAGCACCTTGGTTTTGTTAATATAACATATTATAATAGCCGTTTTGTAAGTAAAGTAGTAAGACTTCCTTGTTAGTAAATAACTATTTGTTATGCATTGTTGTTGTCAAACGAAATTGTGTGTTTTGTGCGACCCTAGAAATATTGATTAAGTTAGATATGATTCTGTAAAAACTGCGGCCGTGATCAATCTAGAAGATGTCCACCGTTATAGCCATCGATCTGTCTGTGTCCATGCTCAGAGACATTAAAATCAAAGATACCAAAGAGTCCTTCACGTTGCTGCAGTTGGCTACACACGGTGTCAATGTTCTTTTGGATTATTTAGCTGTACACTCCAGACTAGAGTTTGTGGCTGTTGTGAGTATTTATTTTGGATAGTGAAATGTACCAATAATGTTTATTTGAAATATTACCAAAGGCTGTTTAAATGACTATTGACATAATGCCATTAGTAATTGCCTTACTAATAATGTGATATAGTATTTAAATTATGGACTGATATATTTATTACTACAAACATATTTGTTAAGTATATTATACCTTTATTGTATGATTTATTAGTCAGTACCTATGAACAATATGAACTTGAATTGGACACATTTACATTTTATTGACTTTAGCTAGAAATCGAAATAATACCTATTTTCTTTATGATAAATTTACGTTTTTATTTAAATTTAGGAAGTAAAACTATTTTCCTAATTATATCTAATATATATTTAATACAGTTATTTCTATCATATTACTTATTGCTTAATTTGTTGTGCTACAGGTTACATTTTCATCCACTTGTGATGTCCTGTGTCCATTTACCCGTGATTATGACTTGATTAAAGCAAAAATCACACAGTTGGAGTTCAGAACTAACACATGTTATCCACCTATAATACAGACTATTAATAATTTAGTCCAAAGTGAATGGTCTAACTCAGTAACCTGCCAAGTAAGACATAAATTATAATTGAAAATACAGTAGAATCTCATTAATCCGGACCCTATTAGTCCAGACTGTTTAATTCAGACAGCCGTTTAATAATACATATTATTAGTGAAGTGGATTCTTAATGTGTACAAATTGAGCCAAACTCATTGGCCCATATCACGGGGATGTCCATATTAACTGGTGTCCACATCAAGCGAAATTCACTAAATTATCAAAATAATAATCTAGATTTCTAGTTATTTTGAATTGTGTATGGTCTAATACTTTGTTGAATTATATTATCTAGTTTACTTTATAACCTTTTTATTTTTAAATCCATAATACATGTTTTTTCTTATTATTGAACAGTGTTTAAATATGTACCTCGGCTTATTTCATAAGTTATTTTGTTTAATCTAGACTTCTATGCAACCTAGAGCACCAATTAGTCTGGATTAATAAGGTTCAAATGTGTATGATAATTAATATTTAAATAATATTTTTTTAAGGTCATTATGATTACTGATGGTAACTGTTATGAAGGAATTCGAAAACCAGACATGACTCCATTTATATTTCCTGGAAAATTAATAGTTGTTCCCCTGGATCAAGTGTCATCGCTTTACAAAAATAATTATGACTCAAACAAACTTCCAAATGGCCTTGGATACATAACTTCACCTGAATCACCTTTAACTCCATCATCAGTTGCAAAAGTGTTTGAAAAAATTGCTAAAGAAACATATATACCTTATTGCGCAGGATTACGATGTGGTAATTTAAAGTCAGATGTTCTCCTGACCCCCCCTCCTATGGTAATATAACAATATTTCTTATTTACCATTTAATTTTTAATTTTTTTGAATATTTTAGTCTTATACAAAAGCTGCTGATTTCGAAATAATGACTTGTTGCATTTCAAGTGAACTAAGTATAATTGGATTTCTAGAGTCCTCGAAAGTAGAATGCCCAGCAACTTTATCCCGTCATCTTGTTTTACCTCAACCAATTATAGATGAGAGCTCGGAGACTTATGAAGCATCTGCAAAAACTCCATCTTTTTGTGTATTATTACACGGAGCTTTAAAAGTAAAAAAACTTTGTGTTAATGTATATATTATTATTTTTTAAATAGTTTAAAATAATAAATTAAAACATTTATAGGTAGAAAACATGACAGCTGTTTGTCAGTTAAGTTCTAATTGGTATGGATTATTGGTTAGTTGGGCAGACAATAAAAAAAAATCAAATTTAATGTTAATTATTCTTGAACCTGGTACAAATCCTATTCCTTGGTTAGGCGATATTCGAAATCTTACATTATCACCAACAGAATTAAATAAATCAGGTAAACTGTCGTATGTAATATTTAATTATTATTAAAATTCATATTTTACTTAACATTACAGATGTCGATGAAACACCAATTAAGACTCCTGATAAACGTAGTTATAACCAGTCACAATTGGTGTGGATCAAAGAAAATGGTCTTCAAGCAGACATTCAAAAAATTTTAAGACAAGCAAGAAAGATGCCAGATAAAATTCCAAGCTTTTATAAGGTAATTCAAAAGTTAGAGTTAAAATACATTTTATTTGTTTTCAACAAATTTTGTTTAGGAATTAAATCGAATTCGGAAAGCCGCAATCGCTTACAGCTTCAATGAATTATTAACCAGTATTGCTGAGTTATTGGAACTAGAATGCAGCAATTTACCGGGTGGTACTCATCCAGATTGTGCACTACAATTAACCCATGCTGCTATAGAATTGCGAAAACCTCTTGCTATGGATCCCAAACTCACAATCGTTCCTATGACAACAAAATATGCTCAGCATGACCTTATGTAAAATTCATTAATGAACACAGCATTGTAAATTATAAGCTATAACATAATGAATAATGATTAATTTATGAATATTGTATTGGGGTATTAACATCAAATTAGCTTATAAAGTTTTGTATTTTATATATTATGTAGCAAAATGTCAAATATATATTTTTTATTTAGTCTAAATTTATTTTGATTTATATTTATTTAAATAAAAATGAATGTTATAATAACATGATAATTTTCATAAAAAAAATATTTACCATACTCTAATGACGGTTCTTACATATTTTTTAGCATTTTTCATGGACCTATTTACAACTATGCGATACATTTAACCACATTCATAAATTAGATATGTTTGATACAATTAGAAAATAATTTCAATTTGTAACCAATAAATATAATCAAACAAATATGCCCAAGGAAATTAACAATAATTTTATACCAAAATATGATTTTTGATAAATTTTAGTTACAATGTATTACTGTCATTGTATCAAAATGCACTTTTATAATACTATATTATTATTGTTAACTGAGTATGGTAATAATATAATTTTTTTACACTTAATAATTTGTATGCTCATTTATAATTCAGGTTTTAGCCACAATTGACTAAAAATATAATTTATTTGTTCCATAAATAAATAAATAAAATATAATAATCAACAATCAACAATAATAATCTGTTTTAATAAGTTACTAAGGAACAAGAAAAATAACAAATGTTTATAAATCATATGTACACAATTATAGACACTAATATGATAAAAGTAGTAAGTCTCCATTAATAATTTTAACTTTTTACATAAATTGTAGGAAAAACTTTTAATTAGTGCAAAACAAAGTTAACTTTTGATAAAATTGTATAAATTAAACTGTCAATATAATATTATGTATTTATATTTATACATTTTGTATTCTTATTAACTAAGGTAACCCTAGTTTAACAGTTATCTCTTATAAGTTGCCAATATATTAATCATTTTATCCAAGCAGAACAAAATTTAATTTGTTGTTAATATAAAAATAAGTACACAGGAAAAAATTAAATACAAAGTTATGAGTAAAAATAAAAAAACTGTTTTTAAAAGTAGTCACATATTACTATTCATCTTTTACTATTTAATCGGCTTTTTTAAAGGGTATAAGTGAAGAAGAAGAAAAATAAATATTTGCTGAACATATTATGAAATAGTATCAAATCTCAAGCTTGTTAGAATGTAGGTATAGTAAAAGATTTCTAAGAGTAGAATCTTAAGTAAAAGAAATATAACTTTTGAAGCTGTTAAAATAACATCAGCATAATATAAACAAAATTATAGTCAAATGTCACTAGAAAATAAATTTTAAGACAAAAAATAATTTAATGATCAACTTGTAAAGATGCAAGTGTTTGGTTCACAATTTTATTTTCTTAAGTTTCACCGTTCAGAAATTCAATTTTGACTATTATTAATGTGATATATTAGAATATCATACAGTACCTATCATACTTATCAATCAACCGCTGATCAAAAATTATTGTTTTTTAAACCATCGTTTTACCAATGTTAACTAAATTATATTATTCAATTTAATTAGTACATAACTTACTAACTGAGCTCATGAATCGTACGAGTATTATAACAACTCTTATACAATAACGTAACAATATTACTGGCTCAACGAAGGGAGCTGCCACCCTCCCCTCTTCAACCATTACAAATTAATAATAATTTACAGTTTTAAGGAATTGATAAGAAATTGTTTGTGTACATTTTATTAGAAATTCGATCCTATATTTGCACCAATGAACACTATACTCAACCGAAATTAGTGGTTTTGCAGAACATAAATGTCACATAATTTATCTTGACCTTACCCTGGTTATATAATACCTACATTAGTTATTTAGGTACTTATTATGTAATAGGTATGTACTCGAAAATGTATATGTATTACATTATAATATACTAAATACCAATGTACAATAATATAATACATTATAATGTATCACGTTAGACTTTAATTTATAGTCTAACGTGACAATGAAACGTGTGTTGTACACTGTAGGTACACCTATTTTACCTATATTGCTATTAGCTATGTCTATATATACATAGTTATCTATTAAAATAAAACCTTGGTAAACCTTTCCCCACTCGTGTGTCCCATTCCCACCTTATTCCTCGAGATATTTGACTAGGAAGTCGTGCACTTGATAAGTACTGCTGCTACCAACTACACGTTGGTAAAAAATAATTTTATACTATTATACTCTATAATATAACGCATATATATATATACACATGCGGATTGCAAGTGTATAGAGTAGACCAGGGGTGGCCAGCCTATTTCGGGTCAAGTGCCAAAATTAAAAAACAATTTTTAGTTTAATTGCTTGCCCACTCCCACGAAAAAGGCATTTTTACATAAAAATAAAAAAAGGTAAGCAATAATTACTATACACATTTTATCAAACGTTTATTCGTTAACTTTTAATTTATGAAATATCAGACAAAATGTTATGAAATATGTCAAAAAAATATTTTAATTAGTTCTGAACGCATTGAAATTTGGCAAAAGGTGCTATAGGGTCGCTACCCCTGGTGTAGACTGTAGAAGTATTGCAATATTTCGTACAAAGTTGAAACGTCGTACGCGACAGCAGTTACCATAACATAATATGATATAGATTGGTAGGTACTAGGTACACATAATATATATATATATGTATGTATAGTTTCCATGTCAAGCCTCGATCTATGGACGGATATCAAAAAAATTAAATAAAAATAACAATTTGTAAACCTGATTTCATCGGCTAATTAATAATTCGCGGCTTCGTAAAACAGTATATACGCCTCGTTGCTTATGAGTTTCGCGGACGACGTGATCCGTGAGACGGAACTGTCGTTGAAGAAGTTCCAGTCGCCGGTGACTGGGTGCTTGCACATGGCGGTATAATGCCCGGCGATCGGCGTGCCCGTGTGGTTGGACACCGCGTACAGGTTGTACTTGCAAGCGTGCGGCTGTATGCTCCGGGCCGTGCCGGACACGTACGGACTCATGTCCAGGGACACTGACGGGAACGCCACCAGCGACGTGATCTTCTTGTACGAATGCGTGCCTTGGAAACGCTTGAGGTGCAGCACTAGGTACCTGGGCAACCGTTGGAACCGGTACGACTTGAACATCTTCCTGTCCACCTTGCAGACGCTGCATCGAGGCCGTTCGCGGAAGTCCAACACCTCTTCCTGCGTGAAATTGTGCAGCAGGTCGTTAATGGACACTACGTTAGCCGATCCGCTGGACGGCAGTGGCAGCGACACATCCCAAAACACCTGTACGGTAAACATGGAACAACGGTTTTTAGTATGAATTCACCCAGGATACAGATTTTTGTATAAGACATTCTTTTTGCGGCAGGGTGGACTAGAAATACCTTTCGGGAGTGTGGGTGGAGGAGGTTAAGGCTTCTCAGTTACACCGGCAACGCTGTAGAGTATCAAGAAAGAAAAATGTTTAAAAAAAAATTGCTGTATTATACGCGTTACGCAACTTGGCGCCGGCGGCCCGGGCCGGTTGCCAGAGGAATGTGAACGCGCATATAGCGTATTTTTAATCTCGGGCACTCGGATTGGGGTCAATATTTTTTAAATTTACAATTTAATTACATCGTAGCTACACTATAGTCGTAATATAAAATAATATAATAATATAATAGTGCGCATCAGCCAAAAACCTTAGAATACTTAATGCCCATACATATATAACTCATATACCTCGAACGTAATACTCTTGTGGCCACACGAGGAACACTCGAGTGTGGACTTGAGCTGGCCAGCAAACAGGTCGACCACGGTACTGTTGTCCGTGACCAGGTACCTCTGCCAGAACTCGGCGGCCAGCGCATTGTCCTTAAGCGTCTCGTCCACGTCCGGCATGGCCCGGGGCTTGACCTTCACCCTGTTAACGTCCATGTGCAGTCGGTCGAGCAACAGTCGCAGGAACTCCTGAGCGTCTTGCTGCTCGTAGCCGGCGAACCGCGGGGACAGCCGCTGGAAAGCCGACTTGAACGCAGTAGTGTCCACCGGATGGCTGTCGGCGGAGGTCCAAATTCGGGATAAGAGATCCCGGTACACCCGGATCAGCTTGCCGTCGGCCCCGTCCACGTCGGCCAGTACGCTGTCCGTCAGGCTCTTGGTGTTGCTTAGGCACTGCAGCACAGAGTTCATGTAGCACGTGTTTCCTATGTTCCGGATGCCGACCACCCCCTTTTTCGAATCGGACACCGACCTGTACGCGGACGACGACGACTCCGGGTGCAGTGCTCCGTTGTCCGTGATGGAACCGTAATTTGTCCTATTCATGTTGACATATCTGGATTGCTGTAATGGTTCGCTGGGCGGAGGAGAGTCTTGCTGCTGCTGTTTGTTGTACTTTTCGAAGTACGACAAGTTGCCAGCTTTGTAATTGTACGACTTGTTCAGCAACGACGACGGCGATCTGTTGTTGTAGAACGCGTCCAAACGTTTTTTCGTTGCGTCATACCGTTTATTGTCGTTGCCTAGCTGCAGCAGTGTGGCTGCACCAGCGGTCTTTCCGCCGATTTCTCCGCGAGCAGAACCTAGTGTCGCCGATCCGCCACCGCTGGTCGCAGAATACGACGACCCCGGCGACAGGCTCTTGCTCAGGCTCAGTGACCGGATGTTGCCGTTTATGTCCGTCAACCGGGACGACGAGGCCGCGGTGGACCTGACCGGCGTCACCTGTCTCGGCGCGCTGCTGTATGCCCTGGACCGCCGGTCGGCGCTCAGCTCGGACGACAACGCGTACGACGACGAAGACGACGACGACGACGTGCCGACGTGGTGGTGGTGCAGGTGATGGAGGTGATGGTGATGGTACGTCTTGGCAGTCGAGGTCCTGCCGGAGCCGTACTTGTCGGCAGACGATGACGCGTACATGACGTTATTAACGACGAAGACGACGAACACTCGCCTGCTGCATCGCCGACCCGACTACCGGGCCGCATAACATGTCCGTTTCCCGCCGCCGTCGTCTCCTGTTGCACCGTCGCCAATCGCCCGTCCGGCGCTACGATGTCCGTTCGTCGGCGTATTAACGTGTATGTGTGTGTCGACCAGCCGACGCAGCGGGTCTTCTCGTACCTATCGGCTCGTTTCTTCCGCGGTGCCAATCGAGAGATTCTCTTTCGCCGGCTATAGATATGATTACTATTATTATTATTATTATTATTATGCACACAACTCGTCGTCGCACTGCAAGCGGCGGCCGCGCCGTCGACGGCGAAAACGGTAGCGCGGCGGCGGCGGCGGCAAATGATCGATGTGCGCGCGCGGTACCGAAACGCCTCGTCCGAGCCGCGATTGTATATTTTTAGCGCGGCGGCGGCGGCGTCAAGCGCGCTGGCGTTGCCGCCGTGAGCGTGTTCGACCCCGCAACCACGGCGTCAAGCGCCACTATCGATGTGCGGGTCGCACAACCATCGATGGACCGCGCCGTGCGACCATCGATGGCTGCCGTCGTCCCGATGTCACCGCACGGCGCGCGCGCGCCTATTGATTAACCTAGTTCGTCTCGGTTTTATTTTAGCGTTTGTATATATATATATATTATTATTACGTACGTATATTATAATGCACATATATACATGTCGTATTATATATACACCGTGTGCGTGCGTGACGGTTATCGTCAATGCCACAACATATTATTACACGCTGTATATACCTATATGTGGCTATATTTATACATGTGTAGATATACTGCACACACCCACAACAGTCCGCGTATAGCCTTGACAGGGTTTTACAATGGATGCATCATGTGCGACTATATAATACGGTTTGCTCGAAACGTATTTATTTTTTATCCTCCGCCCGCGCCTAACCGATGACACAACACCGTTGTATGGTTACACACAAATATGATTTGATGCGGTGTACACGCATGTCGTGTCGACCTACCTACATAATGTCACTTGAACGCGTGCGACGGTGACCGGAGGGCGGAAATCGCGGACAAGGGCTTGGCCTCTCGAATATTTCCAAAGGCCTCCCGAAAAATACACCCACGCCTTTATCGTGATTTTTGAAACGACCGAACCCCTCCTCAAAGATTTGACCAGATCAACGCCCCCGCGCTACCTACAATTTTCTATTATTACGATAATTAATACACGCACACATAAACGTTGTGTTATACAATATTATATATGTAATGAACTGCGACTGCAGTATTTGCATATATACGACACGTTACCGGTATATTTTTGTAATGAACTTGGCCGATTTCCGGACAGATGAACTTTGCGTATTGGTTTTGTCGACCCACTGATAGCTTGGTGCGAAAACGTTATATCTATATAGACTTTATTATACATTATTATATATCGGCCGGCGTGAGGTCTCGCGTGCGCGCGCCAAAGAGACACGCCGGCCAAGGCCGCAGTATCTCTCTCTCGCGGGCGCCGGAATCAATATTTTTCAATAGGTTTTTATTTTACTTTTTTTCTCTTCTTTTTCGCAAAACGGGACCACACCTTTTTCGGCATGGTTTAAAACATTAGGCTTGCCACGGTATATAGCGGTGTCACCGGTGTATTGTGCCGTGGTCGTCGCGCCCCCTGGAAAGCTATATGTAGGTATATATAATACATTTAAGAACAATATGTATCGACGATTTATCAACATCAAATATAAATATTATGAATGCGTAATTAAAATATTATCCGTATACAGATGTAGGTCCAAGAAGGCACTGTTACTTGTTTGCACAACACAATGTGTCATCGTTTATAATAGGCACTCGCGCCATAAACTCGCCATGTTATAGGGATAGGCGGCACTAGAGTCATTCTCACCACATATGCCGTGTTTCACTCGACTTTTCGGAAATTATTCATTTATTCATGGCAAATAATTATATTATTTCGCATGACTTACCTGCATTTGGTGTTAATATGTATAAATATATTATATATTTGACAGGTGTGTATAAAGTATAAGTTTATCTTGTAATCAAATATCTGAATATCTCCAATACCCACCGCGCCCTTTCTGTTTACTAGCCGATTAATTGATCATAGGAAGTTATCATAACGATAACGTGGGCTCCACTGAGCCTACACTTACATTAAAGGGAGTCAACTGCGTATAGGAAACAAAGTTTATATTATCAGATTGTGTATTATAATACGGGTAAAGCTAAATAGATATATGTATTATGTATATTGTTCAGTAATAGGTATTGCTGCAGAAACGTTGTGTGTAGCTATATATATATAAATATATATAGGAACGCAATATTAATAACAATATAATATTATAATTGAATAAATCAATTAAAGTGCGGTAGGATGTGACGCACAGATATATTGTTTAACGTTTTGATATTGCTTGCAATAACGTATTATAATTTATAACATGATTAATTTAATAATGGTTGTGAACATTTAGTTTCGGTGAATTACGTGGAAAGTGTTAGAATGTTAAATATTACGCATTATATTATTAAAATGCAAAGAAAAAAGGGGACAGGTAGTTGGTGGATTACTGTATATAAAATAATAAACAATACGTAAGAATTATTCTACATTTTTATTATTTTTAATGTTATTTAATTTAAGAATAATTTTTCATTTTATGAAATGTTTGTACTGGTTGCCAATCAGTAAATCAATTCAGTGTGTTCGCGATTTAATACGTAAGGTAACCCTAAATATTTCAGCTGGATGACCTTTATTCAGTTTTTATTTTAATGAATTTTACTACACTTATTTTTGTAAAATTCAAAGTTTTCCTATGTTTGATCTTGTTCAGTGGTGCTCAAAATAAATAAATTATAAGAAAAAATTTAATTGAGTGATGTCAAAGTATAAGTTAAAAATAATATGGATCTGAAAGTACAAATAATACAAAATTATGCGGAGGTTTGGTATAAAAAATAATAATAAATAATACGAACAATAGTGAGGAACTTTGAGTTTTTATTATTATACATATATTAAATTTTTTTTTATCGCATAGAATTTGTGGTACAAACGGAGTAGTATGTAACTTTGTATGAATGCATCGATTCTTATGATTTTTTACCCACTATCAAACAACATTTTTTAAGAACTAAGATCAAAAAAGGAGAAGTAGATAACCACTCTGCTGTACAGTGCCAAGAGGTTATCCCTCTGCATTGAAGAATAATTAGTTCCTTAAAAATGTATGTATTAAATTTGAATTGAATTATAATTCATTACATAGGACAAAAAATAATTCTGAGCATAAAATCATTATTTTTCAATAAAATAGCTAATATTGTCTAAAATTTAACTTAAAATTGAAGTCAAAATATTTTTAAAATTGATTGTTGTGTACAGAAAATTCTAATATAAACATTTTAGTGAAAATGTCAGGTATCTACGGTTATTGGTTTTTGAGTTAAATTAAAAAAACAAAATTAATTTTGTCAAATACTGGCATTGCGTATAAAAATTTCAATTTTTCTTTAATTTTTTTTGTTTTTCCTGGTTATTTTGTGAAAACTAAACATCAGCTACTGTGAATTTTTACTTTTCACCCTTAAATTCTTACCAGAAACTGCCCCTCAAAGTGGAAAATTAAAGGCCGAAGCATTTTTACTAACTAATCATTAAATATTTTATCGTTCCGTTTGAAATCGAAAAAAAACTGTATAGGTATACGTCCAAGGTGTTGTAGAAAAATAAATATTCAAATTCGTAGTCCAAAAGGGTAAGAGATGCAATTAAAAAATGTTAACCATTTGAATTTTTCAAAAAAGGGTAATATTATAACATTTATGCAGTAAAAATACCACGAATCAAATTACAGATCACCTGTTTGGCTGTCCCAAATAATTAGTGTTACCTTAATTCGTTAATCGTGATCAGTGAACACTAATCACACTGTGTATATACATTCAACGCATCGGAGAGATGCGAGAACCTGTCATTATATTACTAAACAACGAAACAATATGGGCTTATTATGATTGGATATCATTCCCAGTATTGTGTATTTCCGATACAAAACTCCAATAACAGTATTCCCTGAAATTTAGAATTTAAATGTTTCGATTTTTCATTCGCACAATATTCTCAAAATTGTTTAGAATAATATATGATGAGGAGTATATTATGAGTCGTTAAGCAACCAATTAATGAATACTGGATATAGTGACATTAATAAGTTAAACTTTTAAAGTTAGGTTTTAGCGTGACGAACTATTAAAACATTTCTACGTATAGGTTGTAGGTACATTTATTTGAGTACACAAAATGTTTCAAGAAATCCGTGAGTATACATAATATATACATGAAGGTCCATTTATTTAAATGATTCGTTCAAACAATAATACATTTCATCACCCAACATTTCGACGTGGGTACAATAATGTTTAATATATAGGTAAATATGTATTCTACGTAACGTATACCGTATTCTGTATATTGTATACCTTCTTATATAAGTCTGATAAATATAATATTATAAGCAATTATATTTCTAGCAATTTCAGGGATTTCAAATATTTCGCAATTTAAAAGATATAAAAATTTTTATTTATCTAATATTTCTGTGGGTAAAAAAGAAAAGCGATAATTTTAAAATTCAGTTATTTGATTAATATATAGGTACATTAATTGTCAATTTTACAAATTATTTTAACATTTTTTTTTTTATAGATACACAAAAAATAATTCTATTATTTTATGAATTAAATATATTAATTTAAAAAAAATATGAGAAAGTTGCTTAGTAGTTAGTTGTATATTTACAGTAGGTGGTTTCGATTGTACCTCATCATTGAGTTAGTAATTATAATATATGAATTATTTATATGTTAAATTTGAATTCAATGATAAATTGCTGCATATATTATACAATAAACGTTTCTGATCGGATAAGATGAGTCAATCACTATTCCTAAAGATATTTCATAATTTATTTTCCAATTAGTAATACAGTAGGTAAAATTATTATGCCAAAAATACCACAAACATTAACCTATGTTATTAATTATTATAACATTTTTATATCATAGATTAATGCTAAAAACAATAAACATATAAGTCAATACCGACGTACCTACATATAGGTACTCTAGAAATGTATAGAATACTATGAGCCTATGATTGGATTGGTGGTATAATAAGCTAATATATGTAGTATCGGTACATGTTTTGAAAATGTCATTGTATAGAAAATAATAGTATACCCAAACGTTATGGCGACGAGTTTCACTAGTTTCTGTTCGTAGTCACTATAGTCGTACTCAGAACGATCAATATTGTTTGAAAAAAATAAAAATCATTTGATGAAAAACGCTGTATTGAGTAATTAATTTCGTAAATATTTGAACATTTAATGCTCAAAAAAATTTAATGTAGCTTTATAGAATACATTTTTTTTAATTTCAGTAATGACAAGTATGATGAAAACTTGAATTAAATTTTCAAGCCTCTAGTATTAAAACTAAAAATTGTTTGAATTTTAAATTATATTTATTAAAAAATGTACAAATGGTTGGGATTTTGACGAATTACGTCAGTCGTGTCTAGAAAATGCTTTTATAAAATATATTTGGAATGGTAAAACTTCAATAGTCTCTACGACTATTAATTTTTGAATTAAAAATTACAACAAAAAATTTTTTATTGTTTAATAGTTTTACCCTATTATTATGAAAAGTACTAGAGATTTTTCACTTTTGATCCTATTATAATGATCCAAAAGATCCACTTTGGTAAAGGAAACTGCAAAATTAAAGATTTTTTACTGTTTTAAAGAAGAAGTCAGACACACACACACACACACACACACACACAAAATAACACATATGTATATCTTTACGTGCCTACTTAATAATGGGTATAGTTTTTACTCGGTAAACTCGGTGTTGTAAGTATAGAAAATTAAAATTTGATTAAACTTAAGTTTTGAAACTCTTTTTGAGTGTTGTTGGCTTAATCAGAACTTTAGAAGTATGATGAAGTTTTTAGAATAGGCTATTAATAATATACAGCTGAATTGTTGGGAACAAAAGTAGTAAGAGTTGAAAAATAATTATATGATAAAAATTAATAAATTATGAATGATTTGAAGGCAGTTTATAATATGTACCTCATCATTGAATAAGTTTCTGTAATGGACGTGTTAAATTTTAATTCAAAATAAATCATTGCATACGAAAAACGATTCTGTTAGAGGAGACCGTGTGTCAACCACTATTTATAAGGATATTTAATAATTCATTTATATTAAGTGCATCCCTAACTGCAGAAATGGGTGTAAGTCCATTTCATTAATTTTGAATTTATCACCATTTTTCATTTAGCACACGTAAACACATAGTTTACTGCAGAGAAGAGACAAATTCGACTGTCCGAACATTTAGAAATAGCACTAGGAGATAACAGTTTACAATAAAAAGGATAATAATATGTCCATTAGATACATGTTTTGTCTCTCCTAAAAAGTTATTTTAAGTGAACTTATCCCTATTCTACAGATAGCAATTCTCTACAAGTAATTTATTTTTCTATTTGTAATACAGTATTACGGTATTTTGAAATAATTTTTTTCCAGAAATATTGCATAGTAATTACATGATACCATAGCTGACATAAGAAGGATTCGCACGGAATGTTACTACTTTAATTCAGTGTAGAAAAATTTAAGATATTTTTTAAGATTATCCCAACAAAAATAAAACTTGTTAAACATTTCACTGAATTGTCGTAATATACTCGCATAATATATACAGCATATAAGCAAAAGTTATAAAATATAAACTAGATCAAATTTGCTACTATAAACCACCCTCGACGTCGTTGATTTGTGTGCTGAAAAACCACAGAGAAATTTAACAAATGTTTTCAGTACAGACTACATACTGTATTCAGTGATTAATTGATATATATTTAGTTATACAGCACACACCATTTTTAGTTCTTTAATCATCTGAAAAAATTCGTAAGAAAATACAATACTAAAAATTAAAACCAACTACCATCAATATATTATACATTATGCCATTATACATTATTTTCCATAATTTCGTCCAGAATAATATTTGTGAAACGTTTGGTGTACCTATGTATTTTATATATTATAAGGATTTTTTCATACTATAATTGTTGAGGCCTAACCTAACCTAGGTACCTACTACCTACGACCTACCTGCTACCTATATAATAAATAGGTATGTATTGTCGTATTGATGAATTATTATATGATAATATGGTATTATCATCCCTTCTTGACCTTTTTTTCTGTACTATTGTAGATTTGTACAATTTTACGTATAATTATTGTAACCAATAACCACGGCAATACAAGTCGCAACAGACGAAAATTATAAAGTATATATTATAGTAAATCAAGAAGATATTCTATAAGAACATGTAGTATTGAATTGCATATTATGGGTAATCTACTATTGAAATTTAAATACTTAATTAGATAGTTTAATATTTTATATAAATTTGTTATATTTTCTATTTATGTCAGTTGTGGGGATTTGTGAAAGAAAAATGGTAAATATTACTAAATATTGGACTCAATAACTTACCTAGTTTATCAAAAAATAATCATTGTTCGACAAGTATTTATTTGGGAGCATTAAAAAAAAATGAAATATCTATGAACTATTATATTTTGAAGTAGAAAGATTAGGTAGGTATTCTCTTTTATCAATTAATTTTTGAAGTTTACATAAAATATTTAAAGTTATATTTATAAGTACTAAGTAATTTTATACAGAATTAAATTATGTTATCTGTATGCACAAATAGTACATTTTAATAAGGTAGTTTTTTGAGTATTTTTGCGTAATTTTTAAGAGGCACAAAACATTAAAATACCTAAATTAATTTAATATTGGCAGTACTAGACAACTAGAGACCTCTCCCTTCTTACTAGAATGACTTTTGTTTTTTATATATCTTTATTTTATTAATTCAATGCAAGTTAATTAAAATCAATAATTGTACTGTAGTTTGTAATAGCATTTAATATAGATTAAAAAATATATTAGTATATTTGATCAATAGATAGTAACATATTTTGTTTCTGACCTATCATAATAACCAAACAAAATATATAATATTTTTTCAATATCTAACTTGTATTTGTAAAGATCATATAATAAAACAAAATAAAAATAAAATCAACTCAAATTTTTTGATAGATTTATTTTTTAAATTAAATTATTTTTCTCTGGCTATATACTAGGATAACTAGTAGTAATGCTTATCGGCGAGTTGCCCCTAAATGCACTAATAAGTATAAATAAACAAAAATTAAAATTAATAATTTGTTCTTTAATTACATAAAAGACATATGTACATTAATAATCATATAGATAAGCAGTAAGCACCTATACTGATTAATCATTTGTAAAGAGTTATATATCATTCTAATGTTTATATATTAGATTAAATATTTGAATGCTTACAAATAACTTAATTTAATACCACTATAGAATTCATACTTCATATAATCACCATATACAGCCACTTATTGAAATGATTGTCTCAAAATTTGTATTAATAGTCACAAGATTAAAAATGTAAAAAAATATCAAGATAAACAACATAGGTAAAAATAATTACTATAATACGGAAAAAATTACCACAAATTGTATGAATGTATTATAAATATATACCTTATAAATATCATATTACTTAAAAGTAGGAATATTTTATCAAATCATATTGTAACTTGTTCCAATAATTTTTTAATAACACATTTAAGTTTTTCAGCTAGTTTCTGAGCTGTATTATCTTGGTCCAATTGTGGCACATGAATAAATATAGTCTGATCTTTATTAATACATAGTGACTTATAATAAATGTACTCGCACAAATACCTGTATAATACATATTATAATAGCATTGATTATAAATAGTATATAATCAATAACAATAACAATAGGCACCTATAAATGAAAATTAAGAAAAACTATAAATGCTCTTGGCCCATAAATACCTTCCTGCATCTCGAGACGTGCATATATCTAATTCATCAGTGCATTCCATTTTCAAGCCAGTTGCAATTACATTATTAATTAAACACTTATCATCAGGACCGTTCCCGTGAATATCCATACTACAATAACCATGCCCATTAGCGACCAACTCAACAGTCAACATTTTAGCCGAGTGCGATACACCCAAATGAACCATTAGCTAAAATTGATATATTAGATTCTAAATTTATACTAATAACCTATTATATTTCTTAGATTGAAAACTTACTGCAGGTTCATGTTGAACCCAGAGTGTCGGCACAATCTGATCAACATCTTTGTAAGATACAGGAATATTGATTGTGACCAAATTTATGTTTAATTCTTCAGCAATGCCCGTTTCCGGTAATACTTGAGCTACCTCCCAACTTGCATTCACTGTATAGTCTTGGAAAAGTCCAAAACCAGTGACAACTACCGTTTTTAGAGTCATAATTTTCTAATTAATTGTATAATAATGTTATATATTAAATAACAGTTTGAAATATAATTTATATTTTTATTTTACTACTAAGTAATAGCAAATACTAAAAATGAATAGTATTTGGTAATAATATCAACTCCTGACCTAATAAATTATTAAATTAAAATATTATCAAACATTGTCAATATTAAATAATAATATTATTTTAATTTTTGTCAATTTTTTAATTTACTTGATAAGGAAGTGATAACATTATTGATTCAAGGAGAATATAAACACGAACTCCTTCATAAACAGTGGGGGTCATTGTCTACAACTTACTATGGGATATATTATTCAACAATCTATTATCAATATTATAGCAGGGGACGTCTTGATGTCTTGTCTTAATATCCCCGAAAAATGTAAGGGTACCTATTTAAAAAAGATGGGATGAGAAGTTGAGCTGTAAAATTCACATTTGATGTTATCTTTAGCATTTTTTGACAGTGTTGTCGTGGGTTTTTTATTACGTTTAAAGAAATCAGAAATTTAACAAAAAACTGTAAAATATTAAATACTAATACAATTTTTAAAGTCTTTCTATAGTTCTCTGTGCATAGTCCCAAAAATATAACAAAACAAAAGGAGCCTCGTTTTAAATCAGTTTTTCATGATTGAAAAATAAACGTTACTTAAAAATGATTTTATATTTTAATAATAATAGGTATAGATATTTAATAGGTATACCTATACAATCTAGTCTTTACAATTTTTCAATAGATTAGAATCAGTAATCACATATTATTAGTATAAGCCAACACGGCTATTTAAATTATTTTTTATTTATGTTCGTCGTTCGTGATTTCCTTGTATTGTACCTAATTTATGTCGATAATTATATAATTGAGGAATATGATCTATGGAGAACAAATTATTGAAGGTGACATATCTAGACATCTATATGTACATTACATATTTATACAATTATAGGTACTATGTATAGGTACACACTACACATATACAAAGCAACACCATACAAAAAAATTGAATAAATCGATATGTGTATCGTATACGCTGCAGCATATATCTATGTTATGTAGGTACCTACTACCTATACCCTCATGCGTTAGGAGTATGAGTATATATATGTATAATGTGTAAGGATATCCTAATTTAATGTATACATATTATGGATATACAAATACAAATGTAAACAAGTTCAGTCACGACTTTCTGAGATAAATTTATAATTTTATTTTAGTATCTAAGGATAATTGTCAATGGTGTAGTTATAGGGTGTAATGGGGCGATGAGGATATAATATCCAACAGAACTTTTGGATTCTGAGGGCAGCGATGAATGCATTGTTAGGTGCAATAATCATGTGTTTTTTTATGTCTGAGAATACAAATTGTACTACTTCATTATTATGATTTAAGTAATTTATTTTACTATGAGGCACTAGTGCTAGGTGTACATTATTACAGTAGGTTAAATTAATTTTAGCAAACAAAAAAATACATCTAAAAATGTCATTGTATGTATAAAGTAAAAAATATAATAATATACACTAAAGTTTCAAGTACCCCCAAATAATTTTTTTAATTACAACAAAATAACTAAAAATTTTATTCTTGGTTTTAAATTTTAATATATAATTTCATCCAAATTCGAACTTAAAATATATGTAAAAAAAAATTGTGTTTATATATGTTTTAGATTTTTTGGTTACAGTGTGAACTATTTATGAGAATCTTTGTTTATGATTTTCAATCCTTAGCAATATATGTCTATATGGTGTTATGAAATTCATATAGATTTAATACCATTTTTTAATAATTTATAAAAATATAGCTGACAGTATTAATTTTCTAATATTTAAAAAATGTATGAATTTTATTCATTGAATGTACAAATAATTGCCTTTGTTGGAAATTGTAATTCAAATAATTAATAAACAACAACAACGTTTAATAAGTGACTAATTAATTTTATTGAAACGAAGTGCGCTGTAGGCACTTATCCTCATTCCTCACCAGTTTAGTGTAATGTTGTCTCGATCCATTGTCCCAAAGTTACGAGGGAAGAGTCCTAATCAACGTCAACATTAAATTTATCTTAATAAGCCCTTTTAAATTAATAGTTGGAGGCGACCGGAAGTAATTGATAACAGGATAATTTCAAGATAAAAATTGTAAATAATAACTTTAGTAATTATTATTTAGTTGTATGTTGTCATGATCAAAACATTTGTATGCAATATAGTTGCAGGATAATAATAAGCAATTGTGTGTCCAAATATTTAGTACGTAAGTATAACCTATACAATATGAGTTCCTATATTTTTTTTAAATATTTTTTTATTATTTAAAGTAAGGCTTAAACATTATTGGTTATTAGCCTACAGTTGTTTTTACACATTATACCTATTCAAATATAATAATATCTATACATAATATTAATGTATCATTATTATCAGTTAGGTATGTATAGGTATAAAATCAAGGTTCAATTAATAAGAACAGATTTTTCCATATACCTCCTACTTACCAATTATAAATCATTAAAAATATATACTATAGTTAAATTATTTTCCACGCCAGAAAAGAGTTCAAACTTTTACCAGCCCAGTCGGTTGTCGGAGGCTTGTACATATTCACGTAGATTCCTTACCTGGAACATAAAAGAAAATATAGGGTTGTGCCTGAGATTTGAATGAGGTTCCATTTTAAGTAGTTTTTGACTTAAATATCAATACCCTATTTAATATTTACTGTGGAAAGTTATGACCCCGATAGAGTACGTAACCTAAAATTATATCTCTTTTCACGAGTCATGGTTCATTTGTCTTGGTCGTATGTATTTGTTTAATGGATAACAAAATATAACAAATAACAAATACGTCTTCACTTTTTATGTTCTTCACCTAAGATTCAACATATTTAATAGTATAATACATAAGCTTTAGCTTAGCTAATTTTTTCCCTTCACATTTAACTGCATAATTCGAATTAGATCCTCCGTTAAGAAACCTTGAAAAGGACTGTTTTTATCAGTATGTAGTTTATATGCTTGCATATTTTGGTGGGAGATGCTCAAAGCACTGTCCGATAACTAAGGTTCCGTATATTTTAGCAGTTTAGCAGTTTAGCAGATCAATAAAATTAAATGTTCTCAATCGTTGCCATTGTGAACTGCGAGGGAGTGTATAGGCCATACGGGGCACACCCCAGCAATATCTTGGAATTAAAAATGTATAGTGTATTATTTAGCTGCATCAACATTTGTTGTTGAAACTCAAATAAAATAAATTATTTTATGAACATGTATTAAATAATTAAATACATACATCTGCATGTCTACATGCCTACATTTATCTTGCACATACATTACAGTATTACACAACAAACATTTATACATATATAAGTTCTTGTTATGATCAAAGACACTATTGTGTACTGTATTTTAAATTATAATTCTATAGGTAATCTGGCAATACTCAGTAAGTACCTAACTATTATTATTATTATTATTATTATTATTATTATTATGGACAACTTCCTGTTATAAGAATGTGACAAACAAAAACAATTATACATACGAATGGGCCATGTTAAAAATTGTAGAAAAAAAAGTGGTCAAAAAGTTGTTGTTACTTTTGTATTTATCAAATGAAAATAATCTTTGGCAAGATATCTATACACTATAATACTTTAAGGAGGTAATTTTTTAATAAACTTGCGAAAGGAAAAACTATGAAAAAATGAAGAATTTTACATATAACTGTTTTTAACGTCATAATATATTTTGTAATAACTTGACAATTAATCTTACATGTCTTGAAATGTTTACACGTAGGTAAAGAAAGTACAAACCCTATACCTAACTAAAAAATAATCGAAATCGAAAATTAAACAGCATCAATCTACATGCCGTATAAATGTATAATATTGAAAGTGATTGATTAATATGTTTATAATTCCACCAATAGCTTTTTTTTTTTAATATTACCGCATTTTAAATGGAAACTACCGGATTAGTGTCTAATGAAGTGTCGATTATGGGGTGTACATGCATTTGCACGTTATCCGGAATTGTTAATCGAAAATAATTTTTTTCTTAATTTATGTTTTTAAACTTCTAATATACTAATATTATTGTCCATTGAAATGTGTTTTTGTAGGTATTGTAAATTATTTTTCATACGAAACTTTTACATAGCACAATTTATTTACACAACTATACATTTACATTGTAAATTGTAATATACATGATTGGTGGAAGTTGGGAAAAATATCCACACCAATTTCATATATATGTTTTAGACTTAAGTCAAAGTATTGGAGACATCTTTTTTGTTTTAAATGTATTTTTATATTATAATACAGTTAAACTTATGCCAACATTACTTTATATAACTGTACAATAAATTGAAGAAATATCCTAAGCTCTTTTTTTATTATCATCAAGACATGGCAACCATTGAGTTTACAAATATCTAATCGATTACGTACATATTGTCTACTTCTTCTAAATATTGATATTAAATTTTGGTTTGAAGATTGGTGGCTTTCCTGAGCTATTAATAAACTAACAAATATAAATAGTTCTCCTTGGAATTTTTCAAGATCATTATATTGTTATAACAATGGACATTGGTTATATTGATTATTAGTCAAATATTATCAGGTACCTAGCCTGCCTGGTTATATTGATTATTAGTCAAATATTATCAGGTACATAGCTTATTCTTGCCTCCTTTAGTAAATAATTTTACACTCTTATAACGACTATATGCGCTCATTTTTTTTTATTGTTTTGTTTTTCAAGCTTGTTAATTTTATTTTGGTGTAAGAGTATAGATATTTTAAAAGTCATGTACTTGTGTCATTAGATAAAATGTAAAAAATTAGGCACATCAAATCTTACAAAAATAAATATGTAAATGATGTTTTAAATTGCAATACTTAATATATTTCAAATTAATTTTTAATACATGATTTAAAAACTGCTTAATGCGGTAATTATTAATTGCCTTCAATTTGAAAAAAAAAATGTTACATTAATTCATAAATTATGATTATTTTACATTTAAGTACAAACATCATACTTAAGCAGCTACATATTAGTGACGATTATTAGCAATATTACAAGTTTTGGTTAGAAATTAAAATATAGGTTAGACGAAAGTTGGGATTGCATGTGAAATACTATTATATTTGGCAAAAC